ACGGCAAACATTTAGTGAGTGCCCATGTCTTGCCAATGTCCCCACATCCCTGTCTGAGCTCCAGCTGCCTCCTGCACATCCCCACTGGAGGTCCTGCAGCTGCTGCAGACTCTGCACACGTAGGAGTGGCCTCACCACCTTCCTGCCTTTAGCATCATCCCATTCTCACTGAGGACCGATGACTGTCTGCTCAGACGCCTGCGCTGGAAACATGGCCCCACTCTGGACTCCTCCCTCTCCTTTGCCATTAGCATTCATGGGTCAGCAGTCCACTGAGCCCACCCCTCTGGAGTTATCAAGCTCCCAGTTGTCCTCACCCCCGCCCCCATCATTGCCACGGCCCAGGCCACCACCATCTCTTCATGGAGCGCGGCCCAAACCTCCACCGTGTCTTCCGGCCAACCCCCTTCCAGAGCAAGACCCCTGCGTGTCTTTCCCTTGCTAAGCCCTTTAGGACTGCACCTGCCTCTGCAGCATGGGTCAAACCCAGCTTTTCCAGCCTGGTTCCCAGTGTTACCAACCAGGGTTCTTGGCCTCCTTAATCAATAGAAATTGATGAGGCCAGACAAGAAATTCAGGCAAGGCTTTACCGGGGCCCCTGCTGCAGCAAGAGGGAGCGAAAACAAGCAACAGTTAAGTTTCCCTTGCTCGCTGGCTCCCGGAGTGGGGGTGGGGTTGGGATGGGGGGGGGGGCGAGCTGGTTCCTTATATGGGGTGAGAGTAGGGGCGGGTCCAGGGGTCGGGCCAGAGGCGTGGCTTAGGTGGTTTGCCCACCCCTTTGGTGGTGCTGTGTGCAGGGGCATGCGCAGTACTGTGCTTTTGCTCCTGGCTCTTCAGAAGTGGCAGTTGGGGTTTTTTTATTTGTTTGTTTTTGTTTTTGCGGTATGCGGGGCTCTCACTGTTGTGGCCTCTCCCGTTGGGGAGCACAGGCTCCGGACGCGCAGGCTCAGCGGCCATGGCTCACGGGCCCAGCCGCTCCGCGGCATGTGGGATCTTCCCGGACCGGGGCGCGAACCCGCGTCCCCTGCATCGGCAGGCGGACTCTCAACCGCTGCGCCACCAGGGAAGCCCCAGCAGTTGGGTTTTTTGTCTTTTCGTATCTTGTTGTCCATAATCATAATTTGCCCCAACTGCCAATGCGCACAATTAGTTTTAGTCCTCTATAGTTTCTTTGTGTTTTGTTGCTCAAAGAGACTTTGTCCAGGTACGAGCATTGCAGCAAAGGGTCCCAGGTCCTAGGTCCCAGCCTGAGTCACCAGCATCCTCAAGACCCATCTGCTCTTCCCTGTGACCTCCTTCCCCACCACACCTGGTGGCCAGCTGGGCTCAGGATCACTGAGAACCCCCTCCCCCACCATAATCCCACTCCATGGCCATCTTCTTGCAAGAATTCCGATGCAGGAATTCTTTGCGATGCTGGAGTGCATGTAGATGAGAGCCATCGCCGGGGAACCCAACTCCCCCGATATGACTTCAGAGTGGCCATTCTATCCTGATAGGTTACAACCTCCCTACCCATGATGGTTTCTGGAGTCAGAGAGGCCTGAGTTTGAACCCAGATTGACTATATCACTCACTATCCAGCTGTGTAGACCAGTGGTTTAATCCCTCTGAACCTCAGTTTGCTCATCTGTAATATGGGTGCTGCATTGCTGCCTTGCAAAGTTGTCAGGAAGATTGGGGGAGATCATGCATGTGAATGCTGGCGTTTGAGGCCAGAGTCCCTAGAAACAGAGTCTGGGCTGAGGATCCATGTGTTAGTCATTTATAAAGGAAATGCCCCGGAGGAGAATGGTAAGGGAATTGAGGGGAGTAGAACGGGGAAGGGAGGAAGGCAAGTGAGGGGGTGATGTCAGGCCAGGGCCCAGAGAGGGCAGCTTCAGTTTTGGCCCTGAGGGAGCTTTGCAGTGTGGGTCACCACCCAGGGTGGTCTCCACCGGAGCCATGGGGCAGGACTACCCCAGTCGGCCACTGGTTGACGACAGAACAGAGAGGACAATGTAAGTTTCCAGGCACTTTCTGAATGAATATGGGCAGGATGTAGTCCAGTTGCCCAAAGACAATCCTCCAAAGACAGAAACGCTAAAAAGAGGTGCAAGGGCATTGGGTGGAACATTAACATTGTCCAGTATGACTTGGCACGTGATAAACACCTAATATCCCTTGGCCCTTACTGTGACATTGTTGCTGCTATTAGCATAACCTCAGCAACAGTTCCGCTTCTTACTATAGTTATTAATTTCCTTGGCTTAGGTGGGCTGTAACTTGCAGACAGATGCTCTGAGCCCAGTGGCTAGACAGGGAAATAAATCTGGCAGAAATAAGAAGCATAACCCCAGCCATGCAGCTGAGATTCCACTGCCTGTTTCTCCATGGTTAACTTGACTCCTGGAGCATCTCAGTCCCCCACGCCCATCCCATCTGAAAGAGCAGAGCTGGGCCCTGCTATGAGGGGTGGTGGGTGGGGTGGAGGCTTGGCCAGGGGCCCACTTGGGCAGGATGAGAGCATCCCCTGGGGAAGCGGGGGCACTGCGGGGGAGTCAGCTGAGTTGGTGAGCCTCACCCTGGTGAGGCTCCGCCCACCAGCAGGGCAACAGCAGCTGGAGGTGAAGGCTGCTGGGAGGGAGAGCAGGCCTCCCCGAGAGCAGCCGCACCCCTGCATGGCCCAGCTCACCCTGCACCTCCTGCATTCCTCCTCGCTGCCCGGTGGGCCTCGGGCCAGCGAAGGGCCTCAGAGGCTGCGAGTGTACGGTGCCAGGGGATGTTTTAACAACATCCAGGCTGCCAAGAGCACATTATTCTCTTACAGAAATCCAAGGGATTGCCCAGGAGATGCGATATTTTTGTAGCAAAAAGAAAAGAAAAGAAAAGAAAAAAGTTCTTCAAAGCTCTGAAAGCCCCGTTGCATTAGGAATGATAGTGGGTGTTTGAGAATCTGGATTCTTCATCAGAGAATAGATCAGGGCTCAGACATTGCTGTTTGTTTGCTTCCTTCACTGAATGGTGTATATCGGGTGTCCCTAGGGCATTAGGGTGGAAAGAACAATTTGTGCAAAGGCAGAGGTGGAGGGAGGACGGCTTCCGAGAAAAGAAAAACTGAATATCCGGACTGTTGGTTGTAAGAGACGGAAGTTCTACCCCAAACCGGCTTAGGCAAAGACAAGGATCTCTTGGTTCATGTGATTGAAAGAACCAATGACTGGCAGCTTTAGGCATGGCTGGATCTGGGGGACCCATGTCACAGGACAGGGTCTTCCTCCATCTCTTGGTGCCGCCTTCCTTGGCCTTGGCTCTGCCCTCAGGAAGCCCCTTGCTACTTGATGCAGTCACTTCCATCCTTCCATCTTCCCAGCCTCAAACCCAGTGGAAAAAAAGGAATTTTCTTTCCCAATAGTTTCAGCAAAAGTCCTGTGCCTGATTCATTGAACTGATTTGGGTCATGTGTCCATCTCCGGCTGGCCAGGCCTGGTCCATCCGTAGTCCCTTCTCAAAACCTACGGTTAGTGTGGCTTGGAAGGTAAGTCACATGATGTGCTCCATCTCTTACTCGCCACCCTTTTTCTCAGAAATCGTGTCTGCTCCCACAGTGTCATTTCTCCCTCTTGACTGTCTCTAACCTTGACCTCACTCAAGGACCCCTCGGCTCCATTTCCAGTCCCCACCGTGTTCCTCCCATCCAACAGTGGTGATGACGCACATGAACTGAGCTTTTACTATATGCTAAGCACAAGCTCATTATGTTGCTGTGTGAATCCTCGCAGCACCACAATACTATGAGATAGGAGTTATTATTATTCCCATTTTATAGGTTAAGAGACTGAGGCATAGAGAGGTTCATTCCTGAACCAATGACTAGAGTCAGAAGGACATGGAGTTCTGATTGGCCAGATACTAGTCATGGAGCCAGGGTGTGAATCTGATGCAACTAAACTGCACAGACTGAGGGAGGAAAGGGGTTCTTCAAATAAAAAGCATGTAGGAAGAAGGAAGAATAATGTAGGATGGGAGAAATAGAAGATGCCCCCTAAATTAGGTGGCAAATGGTGGTAACCCAATCTGGACCAATTTGGGGGAAGAGGGAGCTGTGCTACCTTAGGGAATAAAAAGAAGGTTTGGATAGCCAAAACACTGGCAGGATGGGGTTCAGCTGGCCTTCAGGAACAGCTGGAACCAGTCGCTCGTACTGACAGAGTGCCTGGACTCCCATCTGGGCCTCTCTTCCTGTCTACTTCAGTGGGTTCCAAGCACAGATTCCTAGAGAAGGGCCTTGACTGGCCAATTCTGGGTCACGTGATCACATTGGATCAATTAGCTGTGCCCAGTGGGCTGGGACCACAGCAGAACATGGCAGCTCCCAAGAGAACCACAAGGCTGAAGCTGTGGGAATAGCAGTGGTGGTTTCTAGAAAAAAAGTGGAGTAGGGAACAGGGTAAATAAAAATGTAGGTGTACCTTGAGTGCAAGCATGATGTGTGTAAGAGTTGGGATGCTTATAGCTGTAGGTAACAGAGAACATCATACTGGCCAGCTTAGCCACAGGGAAGCCCTTGTGTGGCCCAGTGAGGTCATCTTTCCATTGCTCTGCTCAGCAACCAGTGTCAGCTTCATTCTAAGGCAGGTGTTCTCTGGGCCATGAGATGGCTCCCAGTGGCAGTCATGTAACAGATGAGAAGAGAAAGAGAGCCTCCCATCCAGCCGCAGGATGGAAGTTCCTCCCTCCAATCTGAATGGACCCGCTTATTGGTCACATGCCTCCCTGGACCAGTAACTGTCATCCTGAGAGTGCCACGCTCCGACTGACTTAGGCCGGGCTTCCTGAGCCAGTCCTGGTGAGGAGGATGGCTGGCCAGGATCGCCTTACCTTATCAGGACCCGCCCTAGAACCGAGGTCTTCTCTAAAACGACTTGATCCCCCAACCCAGGGGCGTGGGGTGGAACGAACCCAGGGAGAGTCCGCCCTGTGCGTCCTCACCTCATGACCTCCCTACCTCCTCCTTGCAGGGGTCCTGTGGCTGTCGGTCGTCTCCGAGGTGCTGTACATCCTCCTGCTGGTGGTTGGTTTCAGCCTCATGTGTCTCGAGCTCTTCCACTCCAGCAATGTCATCGACGGGCTCAAGCTCAATGCCTTTGCGGCGGTCTTCACGGTGCTCTCAGGTAAGGCAGAGGGCCTCGGGCAGTGGGGCAAAAACACACCGGAACCAACCCTGTGACCAGAGCAGAGGGGAATGCGGGAGCTGGAGCCACCCTTGGGCTAAGTCCTGATTGGTCCACCCAGGTGACCATGGGCCAATCACTTCTCTTCTCTGAACCTCAGTGTTACAATTTGTAAAGTAGGATTTGTCTGCTCCCCTATTCTCTGATTCAGCATGTGTTTACTGAGTGTCTCGTGTGCCAGGTCATGTGTTTAATAAGTATGGGGTTATAGTAATGAATGGAAACAGACAGTTCTAGTTCTTCATGGAGCTTAACACATGTGGGGGAGAGAGATGGGTTTGCTGGAGATGTATTCAGGAGATGAACGCCCCATGGCGGGTGATGGATTGGATTTGTGGCACGAGGGAAAGGGAGGTGGTCGTGAAAATGGGCGGACGCTGGTGTCTTTCACAGCGATATGAAAGGGGAGCCTGCTGGGTGTGGTGGGCACATCACTCATCTGCTTTATCTTATTTGCCCTTGAGACCTCCATGGGGAGATGGCCAGCAGGAAGCTTGATGAACAAACACATTTGGAATCTCAGTGGTGAGGGTGGGGTGAGCAGAGATTGTGGACAAAGGCCGAGGACTTTGAGGGTTTTAGGAAAAATTGGATGGTCAGCGGCGGCAGCATGACTCAGGGAGGCGGAGACAGAAGGCTCCAAGCAAAGGTCATTGGATTAGGTGGCCAGGTGCCCCGAATAGCCTCAGCAGACCCGGATCATAAGGGGTTAGGCCAGGAGTTTGCCGGAAGGGAGTCAAAGGAGCCTGTAAACCATAACTTCAGGAAGCCTGACAGAGCAGTGGCTTGGCTGTGTACGACATCTGTTCCTAAAAAGCCAAATGTAAACTGAATTTCTATAAATCTAATCTTATTCTTCATGCACTGGAAGAACTCTCTATTTAATGAAACCGAAACGATGAGCCTTTTGGTAAGGGAAATAATCGCCCCCTAATTGAGGTATGTGTATATAACAGAAGGATCTCTCAAAGAATAGAGAGCGGAATTCAAGAAATTATAGCATGCTGCATAGATCAAAACACGCGCATTGTCATTCCCAGGATGTGGGAAATCTAACCAGAATAGTAAAGGGAAGAAAAGAAAAACAGAGAGATCCTCACAGCACAGTGTCGATTTTGGCCGCCCTCCCCTTCCCCCGTGACCCTGTTTTCAGCTATTCCAGATCGAGAGATGGGTTATTCTTTGTTTGCTGTTATTAAATGTGTTTATTATGCCTGAAATCAGTTTTTTTTTTTTTTTTTTTTTTTATTCATTTACTCAAACAACACTCACTGAAGGCCTCCTGGGCTTTGGGGTCGGTACTAGGTTTGGGGGAGTCAAAGAAAAAATGACTCAGTCCTGGCCTCCTGAAGTTTGCCATCTTGTAGCGACACAGACTCATCAAACCCTTGTAACATGGCAAGCTGACCTTCATGAACTGGGTGTGGTGAGTCCTGCAAGGGGGCACCTACGTTTGCCCAGGGGGTGCCAACGGGTGGGGTGGGGCCTGAGGAAGCAATCATTTGAGCTGAGACTTGGAAAAAAACTTTAAGAGTTTGCCTTGTTGGACGACTCGGGGAGGGCATTTTGGGTGGAGGGAACAGCATAGGAAAAAGCTTAGTGAGGTGGCATATTCTGGAAACTTCACGTAGTTCAAAATAATGGGAACGTGAAAAGGCAGGCGAGTAGACGTGTTGAGAGATGAGGCTGGAGAGCCGGGTAGGGGTCTTGGTGCTCTGCAATGGTCTGTAGATTTTATCATGCAGGCAATAGGGACCCATCGAAGAATCCAGAGCAAAGGGTGATACGGTCAGGTTTGCATTTGGGGATGAGGGTTCAGGGTGCAGCACGGGAGGAGTGGAACCAGAATGGAGGTGAGGAGGCCGGCCAGGAGGTGAGACAGGGTGAGGCCCCAACCCCATGCAGTAGCTGTGGGGACAGGAGATGCAGGCACAGTGCCTGCAGACTGACTAGGAGAGGTGGGCGGGAATGAGTGGGTTGGAAAAACCGAGACTCTAGGTCAAAGGTTCCTAGTGTGGAGTCCACAGAATTCAGAGAGTCCATGAACCTGGGTGGGGGAGAAGTTACATCTTTATTTCTCTCACTTGTAACTGACATTTAGAATATCTTTCAAATATGAGCCGAGGTAACGCATCACAGTCGTGGGCGGCACCTGTGACGTAGTCTTGAAACGCACCTGCACGTATCTTGAAACGCACTCCTTCAAAAGGGCAAGACTTCTGAGAGCTTCCGCTGAATCTTATCTAACGTGCTAATGAAAAAGCATGTATATTACTATACAACACATCTGTTTGAATATTTTGCTAACTGTATTTCAGTATAACTGGTTTCTTCTATAATCCTTTTATTTTATGGAGCTGAAAACATTATTCTGGGGAGGGGCCCCTAGGTCCAGATGGCCAGACCCCTGATCTGGGCTGGCATTTGGCCAGGATGGGATGGTACCACCAGGATGGGGAAGGTGGGGAGAGGGCAGTTGGGGGAGATGATGGGTCCCTTTTGAACAGGTTGGGTGTGAGGTGCTGTGGGGTGTCCAGGCTCCTTTCCTTGTCAGTGGTTTCATCTCTCATTTTCTTTCTCTCTACCAAGCATCAAAGAATCCCCTCCGTCATCCCAAGCATCCAGCCCTCCCCTCAACCTGCTTACTCCTGTCACAAAACAAAAGCTGGTGGCTAGCCCAAGGCAGCTGTCTCTGGTTCTTCAAGCCTCTCTCGTGGGGAAGTGGGTAGGGGGCTCTTCCCCCTACCTCAAAGGGCTTATCAAAGTTTTCACCCCTCAAAAAACCCCAGTTACCTTCTAGCGGGGAGTCCCACGACTAAAGAAAATAAGATCATCTCCGTAATTTCAGGCAGATAAACAATGCACGGCTCAGGGAGGTTAACTGACTTGCCCAAGGTCACACAGCTGGTCAGTTGTGGAGCTGGGATTAAACCCGGCTCCCGCTGGCTTCAAAGCCCTCTGCTCTTTTCTCAGGATCGTACTGCAGGAGTGACGGGGCGGGCAGGGAGGAAGAAAACTTTTAAGTCCTCAGAAAACAGTGACTGAGAGGGATGTAGCAGCCAGATGATGTGATAAGCAAGTGGTGGAGAGAAAGGATTCTGTATTCATGCCTGGGAGAAAATAAACCCGGGAGAAACATGAGACCAGGAGAGAGCCAAGCCCCTGACTTGCCTGGCCTGGAGGAACCAGGAAGCTGGCCTTTCAGGAGCCCCTTGAGAACAAGGCAACTGGTGGGGGAGGCGGGGAGTTGAGGGGGTGTTTGGGGAGGGTGAGAAGCTTGGAGGAGGTGGGTGGGCCTCTGGTTTGTTGCTGTGGGAGAGGAAGGAGTGGGCGAGCATCGACTGAGTCCATGTGGGGAGAGGGTTGGGCTCTGATGCTGCCAGGGCTGTGATGCTGCCGGACCAGCTCACACCGAGAGGTCCTCAGCCCAAGGTCAACGCCTTCTAGGGTAGAGGAGAAAGCAGAGGGCAGGGCAGCCCCTATGGGAGCCAGTTATTATAATTAATTATTATAATGAGCCAGTGGGTTAGGATTAATCGTAATTGCTGACACGGACTGAGATGCCATGCTGCACCAGCACTGGGCTGAGCCTGCTTCATGTGTTAATATCTTTATTCCTCAGTGTCCCTGTGGGAGGGACATTACGCCCATTCCACAGATGGGAAAACTGACTTGCCAGCAGTCGCATAGCTAGCCAGTGGTTGAACCCAGAGCCTGCCACATAGAGTGCTTTGAGCAGGGCTTGGCCCCCACGACTTCAGGTTGTCACTGTTGTTATTATTATTATTATTCCTAGTTGTCCCTGAATAAACTGAAGGGCAGATCAGGGCCCCAGGGACCAGCCCTGTCACAGTGAGGCTGGGGTGAGGGATTTGGACTCTACAGCCAAGGGAGAAGGGGTGGGTGGGGCAGGGCCAGCAGGGCTATGTTCCCAATTCTGGCAGGAGGGTGGTTGTACAGATTGTTGGTCTGCTGGTCCAGAACCTAGAGCTCCCAGTGCTCCTAGGGACCCACAAAGTGCTTTAATTTTGACTCTTTTAAAATCAGAAGAAAAAAATAGAATAATAATGAAGGCATAAGAATGAATCTAGGCTGGACTGGTATTTTTTATACCACTGCCATCATAAAATGTGATTTTTAATATTTCTTTTATGGAGGAACGGGCCCATGAAGTCAAAAGTGCCTGGGGCCCTTGAAAGTCATAATGTGGCCCTGCACTGGGCCACGGCTTTTCTCCATCTCTCAGGCCTGGGCAAGACTAATTCCAGACGCGGGTGCAGCTCCAGCTGCCAGTGTCGCCCCCACCCAGCCAGTCCTGTGACTTTAGCAGAGCTGCTGGAGAAGATGGGGCTCCCTGTGCCATTGTCTCTTCCCCCAGCGGCCAGGGTCTTGTATCTTGGAGGGGATGTGAAAGCAGGCTGGAAGATGTCTGTTCTTCCCCAGTTTCTCCAAAAAATGAGGCTGATCTACTTAGGAAGAAAAGAAAGTCATTTGGAGAACTCCTGGATGGTCAGGCTAACACAGGTGGGCTTTTAGTAAAAACTGCACTGGAATGAAGAGGAGGATGTCTGTTTCCAGGAAAAAATCAGACCTCATGGAGAAGTCAGCAAGAGTCTATTTTCTTAAGTATCGAGAAAAGGAAATTTTGCGATAAAACAAAAAATGACCAAGGACGAGTTAGCTCTTTGAATCCGGGAAACTAGAACCTTATCTTTTATGTAATCTTGGCATATTTGGCTTCATCATAAAGCATATATTTCACTGCACAGTACACAACTCTTAATCTCGTATTCAATTTCTTAACCTTATATACATAATGTGTGATTTGAAAATTTTTATTTTCATTTTCTTTTTTAAAAATACAGAATATCTTAAACTTGAAAGGCAATTGAATGGAGTATGATGGGACTTGGGGATGTTTTGATGCTTTTGTGACCCCA